TATTTGGAACAGTACTCGTATTTCTTTAGTTATAGTGCTCTGGCTCAAAAAAAAGCTGTTATGGACCCATGGTCATATCAACATTTAGTCTTCAAATTGACCAAGGATTCGATGGTTAAAGTTTGTCTACATACATTATTAACACCTTGTATACAGGGTGTAAATTAGTAGTGGATCAACGGGAGTCAGGTGATAGAGGGCCTCAAAACCTATTGAATGAACCCGTATCTGTGTGGTCAGAAATTTTATAGTTCAGGAGATATTTGCAATTTTGTGAAATTTCGAAAAAAACGAGATAATGAACTTTCAATCGCAATTACAACTAAACCATTAGGTTTAGGGCAGTGATTTTTTTCTGAGATGAGCTAAATGGTTAGTTTTAGCAATGGTTATGTCACTTTTTAACAGAGCTTATTAGAAATCAGCGCAAAAAATCTTCAATTAATTTTTTTGTGAAAAATCTCTCTCGTCTCTCTTTTGGAGGGCGATAAAAAAAATTGAGCTTGTATTTCATCATTCATTTTATTAAAAAAAATATTTCAATCCATGTAGAATAAACCATGAAAATTTCAGCTTCCTACGATGAGTGCATCATGTCACATTGGTTGTTGTGATGCGATAAACGTAAGAAACGCAATAGAATCCTTACCACCTACAAGTACAGAACCTATTGTGTTTAGCCGCTCTTTATGGCGATTTACCGACAAATGTGGAAGATAATTTAATTTAACTAACTTTTGAAGAACATGTTCGAAATGGCCTCCAGTATTTTCTATACACAAGCGACACCTTCTAATAAAAATGCCCTTTAGTCAAATGAATTTGCGTTTTCCATAATTTTTATTTTTGCTTCATCAATTTTCTGGCGCAGTTGGTTGACATATGCATATTCAGATGTCAACCAACGTATAAAACCCCCAGATACAAAATCTAGAGGATTTAAATCGGGTGACCTTGGAGGTCATCGTATGTGCACACCTCTACCTATCCAACGCCTAGGAAAGGCACTGGCCGTACATCCCATGCAAAGTGGGGCACCATCACATTCAAAATACATGCGGCTTCGGACCTCAAAAGGTACATCCTCCAGCAGCTCATGCAAACTGCTGTGTAGAAAAGCAAGATATGACTGACCATTCAACCTGCCGGGCAATTAATATTGTCCAATTAATTTTTTGTTGAGTACTCCAGCTTCTGGGCGTATCATCGGCGCTCCTAGCTGACGATAAGTGCCTAGTATGCGGCACTCGACATACGCATTATGGACGGGTAGAATAACGCGGTAGTCGGGATATACCGAATGTTGTGATCCACCTCTTCTAACCACATACTCCCGATACATGCGAGCAGCTGCTCGAGCATTTCCATAATAATAATGAATTTCTGCATAATCTCGCGGAGAATATGACATGATTCTACTCAAATGCCAAACGTTAGATACAAATTCTGCGCTGGACCATCTGCCGACTTAGTAATTTGATTAAAAAATCCGCCATTTTGATTTTACAAAATGTTAATACACACAGTATCACTCGCACTGCTAGAACGATTCTAACAGTACCTCATATGTCAAAATCCTTCAAGTCGTTTGGACTGTAGCTCGTAAAATAGAACTTCTTTACATTGTATACAGGTAGATACCCACCTGAGTCAAACATACAGAGTTTTTAAGGTGAGGCACTTATCGTAGCAAGCTGAATTTTTCAGTGTTTATTCTACATGGATTGAAATAGTTTTTACAATAAAATGAATAATGAAATACAACCTAATTTTTTTTAACGCCCTCCAAAGTTGAGGGATGGAAGAGATTTTCCACAAAAAAATGAATTTAAGATTTTTTGCGTTGATTTTTAATTAGCTCTGTTGAAAAGTGACATCACCATTGATAAAACTAGCTCATCTCAAAAAAAATTACCTAATTGTTTAGTTGTAATTGCGATTGAAAGTTCAATATCCCGTTTTTCGAAATTTCACAAAATTGCAAATTTCTCCTGAACTATAAAATTTCAGACCACACATATAGGGGTTCATTCGATATGTTTTGAGGCCCTCTATCACCTGACTTCCGTTGATCCACCACTAACTTTACACCCTGTATATACGGGGTTTCTGTTTCATTGGTTCGCCTTTATTACAATATGATACTCTGTTAATATTTTCAATGTCGGGGAAATCAAATAAAATACTATCTTGTTATTTAATATTAGTATATTATTGGGTAAATTATAACATGTGTATATAACTTATTTACAAATACACTGTACTAAAAAATGGTACGTCTATATTAAAAAATAGAAACACCTCAAATTAATTCTTGATGATTTGTTATCAACGCCCAGAATTAAGTCGAAAAAATGTACAAAATTAGATATGTTTGTTATTTATAATCGTACGCACGCAGATTTAACAAATAAAAAAATAGTCGCATATAGTATAAATAACAAACAAATTAACGCAATAAAACCCTTGACTCCTCTCTAAATGAGATGTATCACAATGTGAAAACCATTGAGTTTGCAAGTCGACGTCACACCAGTTTGTCATACTGAGTGCCAAATGAAATAAGAATGCCTTTGGTTTGGTAACTACAGCAGATATTGTCACTAAAAACACTGTGATTCAATATTTTCAAACTTCATATGAACTATAGATTATTATTATTATTCAAATGGAATTCTTCATTCTGTCACCCATCCATAATTAAATGGACAATATTTGGAAATTCAGGAGTTCTCCTTTCCATCATTTCGTTCCTAGCAATTTCACATGAAAACACGAAATAGGTATCCTGCTAGACTCATAAAAGTTTCATTCAAAGTGAGGCTTCAGATACTACCTGTGAATGTTTCTAAACCTCTTACGCAATAAGTATCCGCGCTCCGACGGAATCTGATTGTTTTGAATATTCAAAATTTCTCATTTAAAATATGACCAAGAATAAAGAACTGTTGGAAAATTATGTTCTGAGTACGGTTCACAAATCTGCATGCATGGAAAACGTAGTTATGCCTCTCTACTGCTCAAAATGTTTTGGGAGTATATCTGAATAACGATCAAACATTTTGACTCAAGTCTTGATCTTGATTAAATTTCCTTTGTGTTTGATATATAGAGTGTCCCACAACGAACTGCAACCATCGATTACTTCAAGAGTCCGACAAATACGAAAATTTGGAGTTACAATAAAGTAGTGGCCCTTCCGGTTGTACCGATATACCAACTAGCTTATTTAAAACGGGACACCCTGTATATTATCCGATTTCCAAATACCGGGTAAAGCCTGTTAAAGCGAGTTCCATGAGAAAATCTAACGGATCGTATCGTAAAGTCACAAATACAGGAACAATTAACGATCATTCACCGACCTTTGTGTTGTTTTACACGTAATCTGATATATTCAAAAAAGAAATAGCTTATCCCATTTAAAATAAGATGGTATCTACTTCCGGTAGAATCAGAAGTTCCACCATTCTGAAAACATTTGGGTCGAACTGCTGGCACCAATTTTCCTATAACCCCAAATTTTCGTAATTGTCTGATGTCTAATTCAGCTCTTTGTGGGACACGTACATGTTACTTGTAATTATAATAATCAAACATCGCAACAGAGAAAATGGCAAATAGTATACACCCGTCGACCACGGACTATCAGACACATAATCATGTTATCTTTTCGAATTAGAAGAAAGAACGCTTAATTACAGAGAACGCTGTTGTTTGATAGATAATGCTAGTCACCCTGGGCACTTTCTATCGGACAGTATACGATGGATTTTCCAGCAACTAATAATAGTATATTACATTTCGATGGCTCGATTTCAAACCAAAAACATAACTTATGTTTTCTCTGCTGTCTTACCTGAAACTTGGTACTCATTCATCCTGAACACATTGCTAACTTAGAAAGGGAGATCAAATTATATCAGCAATTATTTCTTGGCCAGACCTCAGACTTGGAAAAAGTTGGTAAAGAAAGTTTCAAGATAACTATACACAAACTTTATCCGGTTATAAATATTACATAATATTCAATAAATACAACACGTAATTATAGTTTCATTTTTAGTAGATAAAATATACTTTTTTCTTTTTTTAATCCATTGAACAATCCTCTGTCCTTCAAACAAAATAAAGCCATTATATTTTTATGAATATAGACTCTTCCTACCCTACTACAATGAATTATAGTAAGCCACTATGAACGAATCTTGCCTCTTAAGTGCATTAACTTTCTATGTACCTATTCAAATTCAAAACCATCACAACACCAATCCTATATACAACAGCTCATGAAATAGTCACGTTAAGCAGTAGCAGAATGATGCTTTGCAAAAGTTAGATCAGAACAAGATAAACCATATCGGGATCCACCTTAAAATACCTCCATTATTTGATCTTTAGGCAACTAGAAATATCAGAGTAAATACTGGAAATAGGAGCTACTCTTGGTAACAGATAACAAGTTGCATTTATCCTTGCTCGACTTGAAACACACCATAAAAATTCCGGTCAGAAGAGGGGGGGGGGGGCGACATGGACAACAGAGCCCAAAAACCAGTCAAGATACAAACATTTGCAGCCAAACGTAAGGCAACGCATTGTCCAGAGCCTCTTTCCAGTGCTTTTGAATTGAGAGATGTATGCACCCGGAGTGTAACGCTCCCGAACTGCTCTATCAAATGTGTACGGGAACGCCTAACCTGTTTTTTGATATTTTGCTTTGACATTGACAATTTGTGTCATACTGTCAAACAATGAAAATGTAAACACATTTTGCCCGGTTCAACACTTCCATGTAAATGCTCGGCCGCTGGTGCATGGAACGTAGCTTGGACCTCCAGAACGAACGCAGACGTGGAGCGCGCGCCGACCAGCATTTACACAGACTCACACTCATTGTATATGTTTTGTGGACTCACAGACACGTCTTGACTCGCAAGCCCGGCGCCTGGGTTTCCGGTGAATTATCTGTTGAAATTTGAAATCTAATGACGTGGACCAGGGACAACAAAAAATTTATTGATACATATAGGGACCATCCTTGGCTTAAGGAAGGTATAAAGTGAAGACTATAGAAACAAAAACTTAAAAATCACTGCTTATCAAGAACTAGTGCAATTTTACAAAGAAAACATTCAATCTTCGCGCCACTTTTTACCCAAAACCTTCTTTTAGTTGGTTTCCGTGTGAAAATATACGTATATTGCAGGTCTGCTGGTCTCTTAACTTTTTCTTAAACATGTTGAAAATGACGCGTCGCACTGGAGTCATCAACCAGTTAGAAATCCAACGCGCCACTCCAGAACTGTGGGGTTTTGTGTTGAGACGTACGGTTTTGCCATGTTCGCTCCAATCGCACGGAGTTGGAGCGCGCTCCAGGAACGATATCAGATTTCTTGTACAAGGTAGTCAGAGGAGAGTCGATGATTAGTCAGCAGAGCGCGAGGCGATAGTCCAGTCGACATGGTCATACATTTGATAAATTACTTGCAAGTATAGTAACAAATTAGAGCGAGGCTATTAGATTAAACTTTAAAAGTAAAAACGGTAATTACTTTATAATGCAAAAGTATAAAATAATGCATAAGATATATGTATATCTATTTATTACAAGTAAAAAAAACATTTTTGGTATTGCTCTGAATTTAGATAAAAACGCGAAAAAAAGTAACAGCTAATTTACCTTTTTAACCAATTTTCGCTCCTCGCCACGTATCGATATTCTTGTTATATGCGGTGTGCACCTACAATAAAGACCCCAACTACATACTTTAGAAAGCATCCACCTACGAGACTTTTTTGCCGAAAACCGCCTGGAGTATAGGGTGTGAACAGCAATATCTTGAACGACAGTTTCACGTCTTGAACGACAACTGTGTTTTTGCGATAAAAATCGTTCATTATGTAACGTCAGCTACGATCCAACAGACAGAACAGTTCCACACGGCAGTTTTGCAGCAACATTATTGATACACACGATACATTATATTAACTACCGAAGATTCTAGTCGTCTAAAGATCAAGTAAAATCATCGATTCGTTCGCATCCAATATCAATTCACAAATTAACTTTTAATAATAGAATTTAAAAAAAAAACTTTTGGAAATTGCCAATCCAAATAAATGTTTCAAGAGACGCTTCAAAAGTTCAGCACTTTCATCGTCATTCATCATAAGGTTCAAAGCTGTAAATCAAAATACTAAATGATGTACAGAGATGCCAAATCGAAAGTGTGAAAGATAGCAGTTCATCAGTGAATATAGCAAGTGCTGAAGACCGCGAGGAGTTTCGATTTTCCATGATGAGCCATCTCGTATTTATCTATACTGGTACAATATAATTGGCCAATAGGTGGTATACGTACAGCTCTACATCTCCATACATACACGTTCTCTAGAAATACTGCAAAGCAAATATTATTATAGTTGTAGAAACTTATAGATATCTTGATTTATTATTAGCAATTCTAATATACAGTGGAACTAATCCACGTTTTTGGGCGCCGCTTCCAATTTGAAGGAGAGAGATAAGTAGCAGCACCATGCAACCGATATGCTAGAGAGATGAGAGTTCGACGACATCAGGGGAGGACACGTAACGTGGCTGTAAGTTGCCGCGTTGCCATATGTTACAACATTTTTGTGAATTATGATGCATGGTGGAAATAAGCTTTAGTTTGATTTCTATATCCAAATAATGGTTTTATTTTGAGCGTACACATTGCTGAATCGAGAATTGTGTCAAATTAATTTAAAATCGATCAGAATCGCCGCAACATTGCACCAATGGTTTGTTTTGACAACACCGGATCTTGTTCTTCTTTTTCAACAAGTAATCAGTAGAACAGCCATATGCCAATCACTCTTGTTAGCTACTTCACAACAAACGCTGCATTTAATATTTTCGTTCATACCTGCTCCTGTAAAGGGTTTTCCAATCAGGCTGCGTCGATGTCCACCGTGGGTTCACAGTGGTATACATTAGAATTTCAAATAAAAAGGAATCTCGTTAATACACAACTTGTTTCATTACAGTTCAATTTCTACGCAGCCTTATTGGAAAACCATTTACTTAGACATCTATTAAAGAAAATATTGAATACAACGTCTGATGTGAAGTATTTAACGAGAGTGGTTAGCATACCGGTGTTCAACTGATTACTTGTTGGAAAAAGAAACGCTGGACTACCATGAATCTATGACAGTGGAAACTTTGCGCAGGAATGTACCGAGATGCGGTGTTGTCAAACAAATAACGCAATATTGCAGAATTTGTGACGATCCTCAGTTCAATCTAAAATCGGAGAACCCTCAAGATTGATCCGGAATCGACACAATTCGCGGTTCAAAAATGTATGCACGCAAAATATAACCATTATTTGGGCGTAAACTAAAGTTTATTTTCACCATGCAGCATAATTTATTCAAGAAAATGGTATGGCAACGTGGCAAGATACAGCCGCGCTCCGCGCTCTCCCTACTGTCTACTCTCTCTCTTTCTAAGATATGTGTTGCACGGTGTTCTATCGTACACTTCTCTCTCGCGCACATATTGAAAGCGGCGCCCAACAACGTAAATGAATTGCACTGTACCTTCTTTTCTCTTACGAACACCATTACTACATACATACTTTATATCAATACTCCTAAAATACTTTTTTTCGTTATTTTTAAATCTTCTATCAAAAATATAGCGATAAAGCAAAATCACATATAGATTATTTTTTGAAATGTACACTGTTTAACGTAACCATCTGTTAAAGATAGATGATGACCCAGTTTTGGAAATCATGTTTTCAAGTATCGATTTGGTAATGGCAAACAAGGACACAAGTACATTTTTTGGATCTATTCTAAAATATTTTGTGTTATATCTGAACAAGACGTTATATAGCGTTTAAGTTGAGGTTTCGGCTACGAATACGCGCATTACTAAAAAAGAGAATGATGTTTCAACAAATGTGCTACCAATATATTTTGTACTCGAGTCGTTGTCCAGTGAAGCCACGTACAAAATATTCTATAAAACAATCTAAATTGAAAAATGCCAAACCACGAAATAATTCTATTTCGAAGTAATAGTTGCCAAATACTAGGAATGATTCTGACAAACCTGTAAGACACCTACAGTGTAGTCGAGAGACGCTAATGAACCGATGCTAAAATGGGCGTATCACGGCATTACTTAATCAAAGGACATACAAAGTACTTGTACGGAATCCTCCAAGGTCATCATTTACCAAACAATTCTATATCTAAACGGGATCACATAACTCTAGCATGCATGCTCCTTTTAAAACCTGATTTCCTTATATTCACAAGAGAAAATTTTGCCTTTGGCCGGCCGTCACCAAAATAAATGTGGTCTTAGTAAATTCAGTGCTCTAATGATTCGGTGTAGTGGTTGATATGAGATCTCACAATGGTTGAGGTGCTACTCCAAATAGCATTGTTTCTGGTTTAACAAAATCATTAGTGCACTAAAGATTTTGTTATATTTAAGCTGAATGTAACAGCGGATAGTGGAAGATAAGCTTGGTCTGAGTTATACGTAGTAGAGCGTCCACACACTTTGAATATCTCATGCATGAACATAAAATCATTTGGCTGGGTTTAAGCTGGCCATACACGTAATCTTAGACGGGAATGAGTTTTCCACTTCTCAAAGTTCAGAAGTGTGGAGGACATTGTTTTCTATCTGAAAATCCAAGAGATTTTCAGAGATATTATGAATTGCTCCTTTTATCCGCTGCTACCTTATTAACCTTCTGTGGCACTGGCGTTTTATGATTTGGCCTTTATCATCAACAAGAACGAGACTTCTCACATGTGTGACGTTCCTAGTGCACGTGCGTCCAAAAGTAGAGGGATTCTTTGAATAATGCGATACACCCAATTCAACAGCACTTGCGAACATTTCATACATTTCAAACATATTTGACAGCATCCGGGATTGACTGAGGTGTCATTTTAAATTCTGCGACTTCTGTGTCTATGAGCTACAATATGAAGCACATATTGAAGAGCTTTCGAGAAAGTTTCAAAATTGGAAAAGAGCCTGTCAAAAATTTTATTATGAAACCTAGCAATAAGTATTAACCACTGAATGACAGGTGCATTTGCGGTATACGGACAGAAGTCACACTCTGAGCTGCTTTCCAGGGTTTTTTTTGAGAGGGATATGCTCCCGAACTGCTCCAGAAACAATGCATGAGATTACAATGTGCAGTGGAACGGTATTGGTGCTGATTATTACAAGTTACTCCAAGCTACTCAGAGTAGCTCAACAGGGTCACTAGAAAGCAGCTCTGATGTTCCACATTCTGCAAGGGGATATAAAAAATAATTTGGGATCTACACCCGTAGGTTTCAAAATTCTTTCCAGACTTCAGTTAACTTTGTTTTGGTATAGATTAAGTGTGCTTATACGTAGAAATTTTGGTTTTGTATTGTATACAGGTTGTTTCAAATTCGACCCTCAACCATTGGGATCTTGAGAACTGTAAGAGATACGAAATCGCTTAAATGGGGACAAAGTTGCCTATTTGAGTAACTTAAAAAATGCCGCTTAGAGAGTTCCGAAATTCAAAGCACCTCCAGAGAGAGACGGAACAGACAGAACTTTTCCAAACTCGTTTTAATTTTTTTTGGATTTATTTACAGTGGGATTATAGAAAATAAATTGTACGTTAACATTGCTACAAGATGGCATAATTAGAATTACAATACGAAAAAATAAAAGTGTTTTTGGGATAAATCTGGTATGCGATACAAATGACTATCTGGTAATTTCAAGGCATATCTAGGAAATTCTGTTTTTTTTTTAAATAACTAAGGTTTACATTTTTTAAATCAAAATCAAAAACTATTCATCTGTGGTGCAAATATCCAATATGGCGTCCATAAGGAAAAATAAAGTTGATGCTGGAGGACAATAGAAGAAACGTCTCATTGAAATTCTCATTATGCCATCTTATGGAGGAGAAAAAGTGGCAATGTTATTGCGCAATTAATTTTGAAATCCCACTACAGAGGCAGGAAAAAATTAAAACGATTTTGGGAAAATTATATATATAGGACTTTCTAAGCAGCATTTTGTTGATTACCTACAATCGCAACTTTGCCCCATTTAAACGACTTCGTATATCTTACAGCTTCCGGGATCCCAATAGTGAGGGTCTAATTTGAAACACCCTGTATAGCTTCCAAACACTACTGATATAGGCAACTGTACGTTAGAATGTGTAAAAGAACTCTTCGCATTTGTTTATCAAATAGACTATATCCGATTCAAATGGCGTTTATGCCAGATCAAAGCACTCATGGGATCTTGATCACCAAACTCCCGGACTACTATCCACCGATAAGCTGGGACCCAACAATAAGCCAATCCGTGAGCGACGATGCATGATCGAGCAGTTTTTATTTCGACGAGGCGTAAATGCCACTCGAATAGTAGTCTAATCATATTAGACCAAAATACCCCTGGTTTGCGAAATAATTGTAAAGTCTGGTTTAATTGCTGCAAGTTGTTCAAGGGAGTATTTAAAATGTGGACGCATAAAATGGCTATACCAATTTTTGTGGGAAAACTTTTTATTCGACAACAAAGAATGAGAAAACGTGTTTTTTGGGATTGACAGGAACGAAAAAACTGTTTATTATATTATTTTTAGGTATTTGTGAGACATACAAAATAAGACCACACGTAAAAAGATCCGACTAATAGCAAAAAAGTTATGGCCGAAAACAGAGGCAAACTGCACGTTTTGCCACTTGGTAATGCGACGATGGTTTCTCGCCAATGCTTGAAATTCTTCAAATTCGTAGGATTCGTACTTCTAAATAACAACAACAAAATTAGAGTAGATTGGTCAAGTAGTTTTTGAGAATTTCCAATTGTTTATCCCAAAACACCTGTTTTCCGGCCATCGCTACTAGTTTATTGACCTATATACAGGGTTAGTTCAAAGGGCATTTTATCGCAAAATAAACTAGTGAATGTTATTTTTATGCAAAAAAGTTTTGATTACGTTTTTTCTTGTAAACAAATTCTAACATTTCGTATTTGTGAGTAATTCGCAGAAGATGATAAGACACATCCGCTCACAAATACGAAATGTTTGAATTTGTTTAGATGAAAAAAATGTAACCTTTATTTTTCGCATAAAAATATTTTTCTTTCGGAATGGTTTGTGATTCATATCGGCAAGGTAAACACGTGTATTTTGCTATTAAATGCTCTTTGAACGAACCCTGTATATTAAATATAATAAACTAGTAGTGATGGGCGGAAAACAGGTGTTTTGAAATAAACAATTAGAAATTCTCAAAAAACTACTTGACCAATATACTCGTTGGGTGAAATTCTCGTCGCATTACCAACAAGTGCCAAAACATGCATTTTGCAACGTTTTTCGGCCAAACATTTTTGCTATTAGTCAGATCTTTTAACGTGTGGTCTCATAAATACCTAAAAATCCTATATGAAAAGTTTTTTCGTTCTTGTCAACACTTTCGATTGAATCCCAAAAAACACGTTTTCTCATTCTTTGTTGCCAAATAAAAAGTTTTCCCACAAGAATTCGTGTACCCATTTTATGCGTCCATGTTTTCAATACCCCCTTGAACAACTTGTACCAATATAACCAGACTTTACAATTATTTCGGGGAAATTTGCTAATATGATTAGACTAAGAGAGACTATAGACTAGTAAATTGCAATTATAGAAGGAAATTGAAGCGGTTCTGGACAAAGGAAACAGAGTGTTAGGTTTTGATAAAAATGGTGGAATATATGAAAGTTTGAAAGTTTAAATATCCCACCTAGAAAAACGTTCATGTGAGAGGTTTGGATTTCCCCTAGCTATGTATCGTTCCAAGATTCTAAGCGATTTTCCTGAACTGGTCCCTAGGTTGCTGAAACTTGGCTAGCCAGATTTGAACATCTTACCAACAAGCACCAGTGGACTACATGAACACATTGAAACGCTGATTATTAAATAATGCTTTTTATTAAATATATTATTTAATCCACAAAAAATAAAAAATACAAAATAATCAATTTTTTTTATGGTGGCTAATGCTTATGGCCAGTATATACAAAGATTGCTGGATATCAATCGGTAATCCAGGAAACAGGGCTAACATACAAAAATTAGTTGGAGGCTGACATATCACAAACAACTTAACATGAAGGTAATAAAACATATGTGGAAGGTTTATCCAATTCAATTAAAGCTCCGCTAATTGGAGGGTCGAGTGTCACAATGTATTTTTTAAAGCTGTCATAAGCAGACGACGTTCGGAAAAAAACAATATAAAATGTCGTTAACAATCCTTTGAAACTACAAAATCGGTATATTCTAGAAACATCAATTATCCTTGGGCTATACTGATGCAACCATTTACTATTGTATGTTTTTTTCCCAAGTTATTCATTCGGTTCAAAAAGACATTCTCAAATTCTGTGACCTTTTCCACTCTCTTATTAAAGGAGAAACAGATCAAATTTGAAGATTCACATTGTTCTATTACCTTGATTTAAAATCGTACGCAACAATTTCAGCTGCTGGCTAATTTCCGTACGCCTAAAAGCGCCCTTTCCTTAAATAAAAACAACAAAACGTCTACATACATCTCAGACGCAGGTGTTTCGGCATCACTACCCTATAGAATCAAAGAAGGCCCTCTACAGCGGACAAACACTACGCACTAGGCATGGTTCCGTGCGCCCTCTGGTGTGTACGCGTGTAGAGTATGGCAGTCAGTGCAGTGGCGGCGACGGCAACAGAAGGGGCTGCGGGTGTGCACGATGTCGGCCCCCCCATAGAAAATCGCCCCCCGAAAGGGGACGTCACTGTTCGAGGATGTCGACCAGGGATGCGAACGCACATGAACCCAGACCAGCCGAGGACATTAGCCTGATCAGTTCGTGGCTATGCGCCATAGCCACTTCCAGGGGCGGCTTGCGTGGCTTGTTATTTGATTCTGGAATGTACATTTTAATATTAACATAACATACATTAATTATGTCGTAAAACAGGTGACTATAGCCTCTCGGATTCATGTAGAATACAAAACATGTCTTATAAGACATGTGCTTATGAGCCGAATAGGCGTTCTTACCCGGTGATTTGGAAAGCTTCTGAAACCCTAAATGAAAAAAAAAAGATATCTGAAGTAATCATAATTAACATTATATTAAAAACTTCAACGTTTCCTAATCTGTTGGAAGAAACTAAAGTTTGGCCTATTTTTAAATCAGGCAAGAGAAACCTAGCGATACATTTTCATTCCTTTGTACTTCGAATAATTTTGCGAAATTTTTGAAATTATACTACAGGGTCGGCTATTTAAAATGGAAGCATTTTTATATAAAAAAGACATTAAAAAAAATTAGTTTTGATCCAAGGAGATTTGTTGTAATTACTTTTCAAAAACGATATCGCGCAAATTGCCACCTCTGGCCTTGATAACTAAATGTGCCCTTTTTTCGGCGTTTTCCATCACGTTGGCCAATGTTTCGGCAGATATGGCGGCAATTTCTTGACGAATATTGTTCTTGAGATTAGCTAGAGTCCTTGGCTTGTTAGCGTATACCTTGGATCTCAAATAGCCCCATAAATAAAATTCTGGTGGCATCAAATCAGGTGATCTCGGTGGCCAGTCAAAATCGCCATTTTTCGATATCAGTCGTCCAGGGAACAATGGTCGCAATAAATTGATTGTTGCTTGAGCTGTATGGCATGTGACGCCGTCCTGCTGGAACCAGTAATCGTCCATGTCATTTTCACAAACAATTAGCCTCAAAAAATTCGTTATCATAGCTCGGTAACGCTTACCATAGACGGTTACTGCAGCTCCATCATCGTCTTAAAAAAAATACGGCCCGATGACAATATTCGCGCACATACCGCACCAAACAGTAACTTTTTGGTCATAAAGAGGATTAATTGAGGGTCTTCGGTAGCATAAAATCGACAATTTTGTTTACTTACGCCTCCATGTAATGAAAAATGTGCCTCGTCGGACAGGATGATTTTTCGCCAAAAGTCATCTTCATTTTCGGCCATTTCAATGCTCCATTTAGTAAAATCAAAGCGACACGGATAATCAGCTGGGTTTAATTGATGAGCCATTTAAATTTTGTATGGAAACATCTTCAAATCCTTACGAATTATGCGTCGGAGAGTGGTTCGAACGATGACGACCGGATGTTGATGGAGTCTCATCAAGACTGGCTCGTACGGCTTCGATGGAACGTCTTGTTCGTTGTCTGGATAGGTGACTGGCATTACTAAGACTACCGGAGTTCGCAAATTTTGCGTATAAACATCTGATAGTGTTTCCAGCTGGAGCACTATTAACTTTATTTTTTACAAAACGCACGTTTAGTTTTCACGATTGAGAAGTTATTTTGAATGTACAACTGAATAATTCCACCGCGTTTTTTTTTGGTGTGTACTGTTCCATGGTTAAAATTGTACTGAAATGATGCTTCCAACGCGGTATGACATTAGTCGATCTAACAACTAATGTCAAAGATATAGGGTTGCTTGATGCTTCCACTTTAAATGGCCCGACTTGTATATGTACATTTCAGATTGACAACATGGTTTCCTTGATAACAGATCAACTGTTTCAAACTTAAACATCTTCACGCAACTATACCATAACTATCTAAAACTGTAATGACATCACTCAACCACCGGTAGTCGGGTTGTCAGTGGCGGGGTATGAATTTTTAATGTGGGTGAACTTGATTTCTTTTCTATGTTTAATACAAAAGGAAATGGTTTGAAAGACGTTATATATCAGAAATTTGGAGATTACCTTAGTTAGTTTTTTAATGATTATCCATGAGCTAATTGAGTCTACCTCTCTTCATTCGTCGTAATAAGTAGTAAGCTGTCGTTATAGCTTTTTTCGCGAAGATTGGCTATAACTGGCTCGATGTTGTGGTCAAGCTGCCACATTTTTGTTTCTCCACAACATGACGGACAGCATTCTGCCACTCTTCAGGCATTACTACCTGCATGGAATTCTCTAGCAAAGCCTTGACGTCTGGTAGTTTAAAAGTTGTGTTATGGCGCGCAATATAACCCTTCACTTGAGCTCAGATAAGCTCTATTGGGTTCAGGTCACAATGGTAGGGCGGTAAACGCAGCACAGTGACACCACAATGACGAGCCATCAACTTTGGATCAGCCGTAGCTCCAATTTTCTTCTGTTGATGCACCACCCTGCCAACAGTCCACTCTGGGACGCCTGTCATGTTTTCACAACACGTAAATGAATCTCCCTGCGACATAGTCTTGTTCAAATAATTGAACACGTTGAGCACGATTTAATTCGCGTCCTTTTTCAGTGCCTACTTCTACTTGTTCCCTGGCTTCCAGCACTTCCACTCCCAGTCTCACCCTTCATAGTTAAGAAAATATAAGTGTAACCCGAACAATAACAAGAGAAATAACCAAATAACAATTCTTCTAACAACAAACAATATCACGCGGTAACTAGACTCTCAAAGCACTACTAATCTACGCCAATGTATCGGACCTTGTAGCGTGGAAGCGTTGACGCGTCATCTTATTTCAGGACCGGAATCAGTTTTCATTCTTCCTTTCAGTTTAATTATTGTAATATTCATGCGCGTTCCTTACTCTTAGCATGCTTATTGATTTTGACTAGTTTTAATGTTTTATTACAAGTAGACGAGCTCAACAGTGAAAAAACAATACGATTTTTAAGGCCACAAAATCATCTTGAATTTTAAAAAGTTGTAAAATATAAAATATTAATACAAATGAGATATTTCCCAAAAATGCAAACTTCTTACTAGAATAACCCCACGGCTTCGCCCACATGATAGTCAATAGTGTTACAGGCAAAAAGGATGCCGCGCTGCAACAGATATTCATTCAATGTTCATCAACTGCAAAATCCACATTGAGTTAGCAAATAAAGCCGACTATAATTTTCTCGTAATAATAAGTATAACTTGGCGAATTTTCACAGGATTTCGTGTCTCATGGTGATCGGACAAACTTACTTGAAAAAAAAAATGAAAATCACCCGAGCGGGGTGGCATGAAAGCCCAAAGCAAGGCAAGGACCTAATAACGCAACCAGTGGACGACGAAAATTACTATTTTCAGCGTTATTGTGGCTTGTTTATAAAAGATCGGTATATGCTTCTTCGGATTTTTTAGTTCTTTTGAAGACCCTTATTTTCGTAGTATTAGCATTTATGTATGATCCACCATTTAGGCAGCGTACGAAGTTAAAATAGCACGATCGTGATTTTTAAATATTTTATTTATTCGAGCAGATCGCTATATGGAAGCTTTCTCCTTAAAACAAGTCCAAAAATTCATAAACGGTTTAACTCTCAAGATTATTATAACAAATGAATGAGATTTTGTAAGCATAATATAAAAATTTTTATATTTTCCCAAATTTTCTTTATTTACATACTTGTATTCTTATATCTCGAAGTTTGTCAAGATGATTGTGGGATATATTATTACCCTAATAAAATGTGTATTATTGAGAATATGTAAATCGAACACTCATAGTTTAGAATGCTACCCTGTTCTAGCCTGTCGCCTCTCAACAGCCGTCCCGTCGCCCGGCAGCGGTCAGGCTCTGATCACGCGTATGAGTCGTTACAGTTTTAGATAGTTACAGTATAGCTTCGTTTGTTTTAGATAAACAAGGACAGCTTGATGCAATTTCCACAAATTGTTATAAATCTTTTGACAAATTAAGCCATTCAGTGCTTTTGTATAAATTAAGCGTGCTTGGTTTTGATGAGAACTCTCTTTCCCTTCTGCGTTCTTATTTAACCAATCGGCATCTTCGTGTTACTTGTAACGGACTTGAATCTAACTGCATTATTACCCCGTCAAGAGTACCACAAAGCTCGAATTTAGGTCATCTGTTGTTTATATTGTTCATTAGTGATTTGTGTGATACCTTAGGTTGTGGGAAGTTACTGTTTGCAGACGATTTAAAAATGTCTACCAAAGTTAACAATTTATAGAACTGCATATGACTGCAACCACAACTTAATGTTCTTGATGAATGGTATGAAAATAACAAAACGACTCAAAATGTTACCAATAAACAGAATAAAACTATTATTCAACTTCAACTTTGTGTGATTTGGGCGTAACTTTTGACTGCCGACTGAGCGTCAACAGTCCTATCCACCACATTAGTATACGGAACCAATTTCACCGAGAATTTTATATATTTCCAGCAACAAACCGACTTGATTTTGAATCCCCTCGGTGACGGAGTTGATACATCCACACTATTGTCAAATTACCTTCACTCACGTCTGAATTCAGTATTCTTTTGCGAACTTGCACATACTAACTTACTTTTGAAATCACCTATTAGAGTTATGTGTATCAATTTCAACAGTATGTGTCATATCTAGGATAGGCTTTTGTTGGTTTGCTTCTCTGCATTGATAACTTGGATATACAGGGTGTTCCATAATTATTGCGACAAAATGATAGGGGTTGTAGAGGGCATCAAAATGAACAATTTTGCCTTATAAACCCCTGTTCGGAAATATGCCGTTTGGGATGCAGCAAAAAAAAAGATCAGTTTCTTGAAACAGCTTACCTACAGTAATTGCTCAAAGTGTCCTCCACCTTGCTCAATACACAGCTGTGCACGATTGTTCAATGATCGGCGAACTCTGTGGCATACCCCCGGTTTGTCCTGAACATGTGCGGACGCGGCCATCACTCTTCCCAGTAGCTCTTGTTGGTTGGGAACAGTAGTTTCGTACACTAAAGCTTTCAGATGGCCCCAGAGAAAATAATCCAGTGGGGTCAGGTCGGGTGACCGCGCAGGCCAAGGCACAGGGCCACCTCGGCCTATCCACCTATTTGTCGTCCAAATACTGCCGCACTTGTAAAGAAAAGTGGGCTGGAGCGCCATCGTGTTGAAACCACGTGTTGGCTCTAATGTTCAGTGGCACATTTTCTAATAGTTCCGGTAGCACATGCTGTAAGAATCGACCATAAGCATGCCCATCCAAACGTGGTGGAAGCAAATATGGCCCGATGATATGCTCGTCCACAATGCCGCACCAGATGTTAATTGAAAACTATGTTGGTCTCTATGGATGGCTATGGCATGAGGGTTTTCTTCATCCCAAATGTGACTGTTACGGCTATTAAAATAACCGTCCTTTGTGAAACAGGACTCGTCAGTGAACAAAACGTAGCGACCAAAGTTTGGTTGCCTCAACTCCTGCTGCAGCATTTCATGTGCAATAGCACGCACGCTTGTACGCGGATTGGCCTCTAGTTTGACGCACCACTCAGATAAATTAAATGAATCGGTGTGGAGAATTTACGATAACAAAAATGTAAACACAGCAGGCTTTTTTTTACAAATCGGCGAGACCATGAAATGTGCTAGACGAACATTTCGCAGCTGTTGAATGTTTTGTTTCTCTTAAGGTAAAATTAGCGGTAGTGCTCAAACGGCATATTTACGAACAGGGGTTTATAAGGCAAAATTGCATATTTTTATGCCCTCTACAACCCCTATCATTTTGTCGCAATAATTATGGAACACCCTGTATAATAGTGTTATCATTATCCTTAGGTGGTAATGAAATGTAGTTACTTTTTGTATTATTTGCCCTGTAAATTGATGTTTCTGTTGGGCAATAAAATGCTATTATTATTGTTATTATAATAGGATAGATACTGTTGACCGAAAAGGAGCTTCACTTGCTGGTATAGTTAACATATCAGTATACATTTCATCTCTCTCCATACTTTTAAATTTTTTGGTGGAGGAAGGTTTTCTCAATTTTTTTAATTTTCGGTGAATCGGATGTAAAAAATGGGGGATTCCCTTTGAAAAGTCGAGGTCACTGTCAATGTTTCCATCATTTTGCACCCTCAAAACCCCATAGACTTAATTTGAAACTTTTTTTTTTTAGAATGCGCAGTTTTCGAAATATTTAGGCGGGGAGATTAAAACGGAGAAACACAAATCAATGAAATACTTGTAATTTACAACAATTTGTAGAGTTCATAGAAAAAGAAAATTGTTATTTTATGTATCGTCAGATCAATAAATGGCAAATCACTTACCTAAAATAGCTGAATTTAAAGACGCACACACTGACTCTCTTTGTGAAGGTTCTAACTGCCATCCTACGGGGCTAGCCCAAGGATTCGAGTAGGCTAATAAACTAAATGCATCCTGCAAGAATAAATTTGTTGAAAATTTGATACTTATAGAATGAAACGACATAATTTTTACCTCGAGCATTTTTTCGTTTGTTTCACTAGATTGTTTATCAACATTTAACCTTTGGCTCATGCTGTACAATTCTCTTCCAAATTCCAATATTCTTTCAACTGCTGGTTTTGAACAAGGTTTTCGACATGGAATGTCAACATCTAAAATAAAATTTCAAGCTTTTGTCATATAATTATGGCTGGTGCAAAACTGAGGTGCGTTTGTAAATCACTTGGTAATGTAAAAATAATACCATGCACAGTAATGCAATGTAGATTGACAGATGGAATTTAACTCTAGAATACTGTGTGATTTTATCTTCAGAACGCCGAAGCATGTTGATGACAGCCCCCACTCATTTCTAAGTACGTTTTGTGCGACCATTTTTTATTATAAGAAACGCTATGAATAAGTGTGAGCCCATTTATCGTGGAAAATATAAATTCTACCAATTTTGAGCACTTCTTGATAACCAAATAAAGTAAACAAACAATGAACCATAAGAATTACAAGTGACAACACTCTTATCTCCAAGTTTATGCGCGCGGCAGGGTTACTACGCAAAAAAAACGATAAAATGTCATCTTGTCGACTAAGTAGGCTAGTGTACACATAGTTCATTCCACGCTTGCTACAAGTGAGCATGAAGTGAACGACAGCGAGTTCCAAGTTGACGTCTTGTAGGAGAACCTACATAAATAACGTCATAAAAAACCTACATAATTTAAAAAAACCGACATAATGTCATTTTTCAAGTTACGTAATACCTCGGGAAGAAAAGTGCACTTTTGACGTTCCAGAAGGTTTACTTTGTTTTATTTGCGAACGCATGGAACAGGTACGTCAGACAATTACGAACGCTGAAATTGTTACAGAGTAGCACAAAGTACACTCTCTCATTTCCAATTTTATTACTTAGTCTAATCATGTTAGACGAAAATGCCCCTCTTTTGCGAAATAATTGTAAAGTCTGGTTTTATTGCTGCAAGTTGTTGAAGGGGATATTCAAAACATGTACGCATAAAATGGGTACACCAATTTTTGTGGGAAAACTTTTTATTCGACAACAAAGAATGAGAAAACGAAGATATGAAGATACCAAGAGACAAAAAAAGTTCCGTTAGCTGCTTAATCTGAAAAAATATATTTTTTGTTTGCCATTGACAGCATAATTGATTTTGATAATGATATTAGTTCCATCACTGGTAGAAATGCCTAACCGAAACCAACATGATCTACCCTTTAATAAATAAGTTCTTGAAGATTGTATAAAAGAATTAAACAGAGTTTTGCTTACCCATATCTTCTTCGTCATTATCACAGCTTATGGTATATTCCGGTGGGTCACCTGTTGTATTTCCATTTCCATAACTGTTACCGTTTTGATATCCATTGTTCGGTGCTGACTTGCCGTTCACGCAAGAGTTGTCACCATGTCCGTTTGGTACCTAAAAAGGCATAATCACCTGTCAACGGTTGCACTAATCACTAGGCATCGCTACCCGCAGTAGTATTGTCTTGATTAAAAATAAATTAAGTTGAAATCTAAGTTGCCTGTGGCATTTATTTATTAGTCTTCCAGGTGACAACATCCAGTGACAAGGATAACATGAAGGTGGATTTGAGTGAGCCACGGAGTAGGTTTTACGAGATACATTGATCTCCCTCCATGTCTGCCGAGCCGCTAACTGAAACCACATAAATGGTCAGTTTTTAATGTGGTCTCGGTCAATAACTCCATTATTACGCATAGTATCGAAAAAGTACAAAAACTGCAGCGAACAGTATGCTAATGACTTTGAAAATATTGTTCTCTCTTCAAGGTCATTCGGAGATACGAACATAAATGTTTTTTAAACGGAATGCCTTACATTTTATTGCCGATTAGGATAGGACCAACAATGCAAACTGATATAGGATACTATAGGATTTGTTGAGATTTGGACAGTTATACAGGGTGGCCAATATATAACTGACTGATTTAAATTTTTGATTTTTGATACACGCATTTCAGTAGGTGGCGCGGTAGTAGTATCATGTTATACACTAAGAAACAACAGATAACCTCGCCCGGAAGATATATAAACATAATATATTGCCATTGCCATTCGTACCTGAAAAAGGCCACCATAGCCAGATACACATGGAGGATTAAACACAAAAAAGACCACAGGATATGTTTCAGGTGTTACATAGATTCATCTTTTTGTTGAACGAAAAATAAATAAAATTGCAAACCTCATCTGATGTATCCATTTCTACATCACTATCTTCTGCGTTGATTATAGAATTGTCATTCCTCATTTCACAGCCATTTCTAGCTGTGTTTTCCTGATTCATTTCTTCCACCATCTGAAAAATAATAGTATTGTGAAAATTATAACTTAGCGTCTAACGATTACGAACAGTTTGAAATAACAAATTGGTTAAGGCTTTCGCAGCCAGTTGATAAACAGCTGTCTTGATTCGGGTCTAAAGGTCCTTCCGAGTCTCTCGGAAATGGAAGGACCTCTGAAGAAGCTTGCCACTCGCGCTAGCGAAACGTTAGGAAGAAATTCCAACCGACGCCGACGACGGCCTTTAGACCCGAATCAAGACAGCGTTTAGTTTGAAATAAATTAAAAAACTGAAAGAATGAAAAATGCACGAACTCTGACTACCTATCATCAATTAGGAACACATACAAGGGTATGTTCCTTATAAAATATTTGTTGCGGCTGCTCCAAAGCAGTGCTTGTCGGGGTGCGAAAAAAATATTTTTTGATGGCCAAATAAACTAAACAACTACTTTTTACTCGAGATATGAAAAATCAGCAACAGCTTACCATATGTTTGTTTTTATTGCTAAAGTTTTTGGTGGACTGTATGACGGACGTCTGGATCGGACTGTTTGGTCTTGGTGATGTGTTGTAGTTTGGTGAATAGCCACCTGGAAATCAGCACATTATAAGTATTGAAAGAACTGCCACAAAAATAAGTTACAATAAATCTTCTCTCTATTTTAATTATAACTGATTCAGAATGTTGACTGTATTACAACAGTTCTAGGTTGATTTTCGAATTTTTTTTAATGCTTTTGGCGTCTTCGGGACGATCAACGAGGGTGACGTATCCGGTACATTTAAAAAAGCGACAGATAACCTCATGCTCGGTGGTCGCGTTGGAGCACTGGACGTCCTTTTTAAGATGCCTACACCAAAGTGGTCCTGAGCTATGTTGGCTTTGCGTGGTGCCATCTTAAATTTTGGAATGTTGCCTTCGCGTAAACGCAACATGTTACGGAATTGTTTACACTATTTAGGAATACGAAAATGAAAATTAAAAACTTGTAAGAGAAATACATTAAATATATTGTCAGGTAAAAGATGTGTGCCCCCGTTTTACCCTCCACGCTCTTCTATCTTTATTTCACAGTCGTTAGGTTTTAAAAATAATACACATACCTCTAATATTTATAGTATCAATTTATATTGATATTATCATTATCAACACCTGTGTTAATCCACTAAACCTTAACCCTAGTGACCGGCTGCATGGACCACAGTCCCAAAGCCAATGGATCATTTTTTTTCGTTAAAGGGATTGTAGTGAAGAAGGCCACAGGTGTGACCGAAACGTTCACAATATTTTTTCAACACTTATGGTTTCAATTGGCCAGAGAAATATGGAGGTTATCAAAACATGTATGTTGATTTGTTGAAAATAAAAGCAAGCATTCAACTTCACTTTTCAAAAAATTGGATATTTCCATAACTACAAAGCCCGACAAAATAATATTTTCATCACAAAACGTAATCTCGAATAGCTGAAAAAAGCTGCACCGATGTTCAACTATATAATATGATGCTAATGTTGATCTAAAAGTTCAATTGTACGATTTTGTTCATAAATATTATTTTGTATTTTGAATTGCCCCTCTTGTAAACGTTTCTAGGGATTAATAAAGATGTTATATATAATTACCTATACTTTTTCTATGGCATACATCTATGTCAGTGCCATTCACCATTTCTACGAACTGACGGCACTTGAGCATAAACAACAAATTCTGATTGTTCTCTAAAAGACCAGGGTATAATTTACCGGTCTTTTCTATTGCTTCTCCCATTCTACCTGCTAACACTAACTTTAGAATTTCTGAAACAAAAATGACGGTTTCAGCTCCGGACCGAGTCCTCAGTACCAGGTGTATTCAAACATACTTAAAAATTGTGTTCCATGTACAGGGTATTTGGTACATGAGCCAACAAAATTGTTTGGGCGATTCGGGACGCTATTTGATGATTTTTGATGGGAATCGCAATGCTCGAAGGGCTACGGTTACCGAGATATGATCGTTTTTCGTTTGTTTTTTTGCAGAATTATCTACAATTGCGCATAAATATCGTTATAACTTTTTTGTTTCTGGTGATAATGACACAAAACAAACGTGAGTGTTCTGTAATGAATACTCAATCAGATCAGATAAACAGTTCGTGCAACACTTCTCACACAAATGACTTATGATCTTTTGAAGTCGTACAATCACGTGGAGTGTATCAATAATTTCAAATTTGTAAATCGATTATAAAAAACTATACCTTGGATTAACACCTCTCTGCCAGGCACCTGTGTCGCATGCAATAATTCCTTCACTCGCCCCCAGACGTAAAAGTCCAAAGGTGTCAGGTTTGCAGACCGTGGAGGCCAAGGAATAGGACCACCCCTACCAATCCATATCTCGGTAACCGTAGCCCTTAGAGCATTGCGGTTTCCATAAAAAATCATCAAATAGCGTCCCCATCGCCCAAAAAATGTTGTTGGTTCGTATACCAAACACCCTGTATATTTGTTTAATGGTTACGGACACAAGACTGTATTAGACTTACTTTGTCGATTTTTAATTGATGTCATATCCTCGTTAAAAGGTTGTTCTGTGATCTGGGCAAAAGCCTCAGCAGTATTGCAATACCCGTGATGAATTAAATACGTGGATACCATTCTGAAAAAATTATTCATGCATTAGTATCATAATTATGTTGACCATCGACTTGAAATGTAAATGTATAATAAAAATAAGTATGGAAAATCATGTAAAATTGACAGAGGCTCAAAACAGAATCATCAGATTAGGTTTTTTGAATGAAGTTTATCACGAGAACAATACACGAAATTGATATTTTAAAATAGTCCAGAAACATAAGATCACTTGCGTCATATTCAACAAATTACCAGTTAAAGTTCAATAAAGTAGTAATTATATTTCACTTACAAAATAAGTTAAGAAATTATTGTGAAAAAGTTTATTTTACAATGTAACTGAGTACTTAGAATGTACGAATTTGCACTAGGTACATAAAGATTATTTATTCATTCATATGTATTGATACACTTTCACTGATCTTTCTTGTTTTGTAGAACATTTTGTACCACATATACGAGGAGGTACCCAAAAGTAACCGGAATAGCATTGCATTGGGCGAAGCTTGTGAAGTACACATATCTGCCTGTAGCGGCGTACAGCGCAACTCATTACCAGTTCAGTGCCACCTGAGTTGTCGATCTGACTTGTTTCGTTCCTCTGTAGTCATTTTGCGAGAGCTGTTTCGTGCTTGTTTCGTTTTCTACGATGGCAAGCTTCAGTGAGCAACGTGCAGCTGTGAAATTTTGCTTGCTAATTGGTAAAAATGCTGCTGAAACTGCTTTAATGTTGAAAATAGCTTACAAAGATGATGCAATGGGAAAAACTCATGTGTACGAGTGGTTTGTTCGATTTAAAAATGGCGACATGTCGACTGATGACAAACCTCGCTCTGGACGTCCATCAACTGCCCGAATCGACGAAAATGTTGAAAAAATTCGAGAGCTTGTGCTATTTGGAGGTTAAAAAGTCGATAGTGAAACAGTATTCGGCAAAAAAGACCCGATTTGTGGCAGTCAGGAGACTGGTTCTTCCACCACGATAATGCACCTGCGCACACAGCCATCTCTGTTCGACAGTTTCGAGCACTGGAAGCACCGGGGGGACAGGTGTATTAGTTGTAGTGGACAGTATTTTGAAGGAGATAAGGTTACTTTGTGAAAAAGTTGAAAATAAAAGCTTTTAAAAAATTATTCCTGTTTTTTTTGGTACCCCTCGTACATATCTGTATCAAGTGGATATGAATAAAAACTACTACTACTAGTAATGGAATGAGACACGTCTTTCAATTGAGAAAAAGCCTCACACGTAGTCTATTTTATTCCATTTCAAAATCTATTTGTGCTTTTAACAAAACAATTTAGTAGCAACGACTCTTTATCTCATAGAAATTGGATCTAATGCAACGAAAATAATGAAAAAAAATAATGTTTTTTTGATAATGTAGCAACAAATCCTAATATGGTTTAAGCTTGGCGAATAAAACTTTCACAATGAAACGATTGAGTTATCAAAAATGTGGCCCATTTTTCCAAGCTGCCTTCAAAGCTGGAAACCGTAATCGTCGAATGATGACTTATTTCTGCTCGAGACAGATTTACAATAAACAACTTCGATACTAACTTATTCAATATGGCCTGCCATTCGCCTCGGCTTCCAGGTACGGGGTAGTCGTTAATTTCGACCCTAGTTCGAGATCGCAGCTCCCTCATCATGTCCTCGATGTCAAACACAAACGGTTCCTGACCAAAGTTTGCATCGACCACTTCGCCGGGAGTTTGGAGACCCACCGTCGGATAGAGGTTTGGCTGCAAACGACCAAATTTTTTTATATTCAACTAAAAAGGAAAGCGTTGTTTGAAAATTGCAGATCATGGATGAGATGCGAGGAAAATAAAAATGAGAAAAAGTAATTAGCATAGGTTTAATTATTGCTTAACGCATTCTACCTGAAAACAGCAACGTAATGCTGTATTTCCGCGTCCAAAAAATTGGAAAGACAAAATGAGGTACCGCGGCATCATCTATGAGAATTTGTCACAGCTGTTTTTCTATTTACTATATATATTTTGAAAATGTTAGGGCCTTAAAGATAGCGCTCCGTATATGCTACAAATAGGAGCCTACAGCGCCATCTAACCTCTTCAAATAAATAAAACTTATTTCACGAGTATCCATCACGTTTTGACGTTTATCGAGGTAAACAGCTGATCAGCAAGTGACATCTTTGTATTAGTCTGCATCATTGGCAATAATTAATCTAATAATGCCCAAGCTCATTAAGCGAATTTGGCTATTTGGATAAAAACTCCGTCATTTTGTATAACAGTACCTCATATGTCAAAATCCATCAAGTCGTTTGGACTGTAGCTCGTAAAATAGAATTTCTTGTTTACATGTATAGATACCCACCTGCGACAAACATACAGATTTTTTAAGGTCACTTATCGCAGCAAGCTGAAATTTTCAGGGTTTATTCTACATGGATTGAAATAGTTTTTACAATAAAATAAATAATGAAATACAACTTCAATTTTTTTTACCGTTCTCCAAAGTTGAGGAGAGATTTTTCACAAGAAATGAATTTAAGATTTTTTGCGTTGATTTCTAATTAGCTCTGTTAAAAAGTGACATAACCATTGCTAAAACTAACCATCTAGCTCATCTCAATAAAAATCACAGCCCCAAACCTAATGGTTTAGTTGTAATTGCGATTGAAAGTTCATTAAACCGTTTTTTTTTTCCAAATTTCACAAAATTGAAAATATTTCCTGAACTATAAAACTTCGGACCACATATTTCCAGTCGATAGGTTTTGAGGCTCTCTATCTATCACCTGAGTTCGTTTGATCCACTTCTAACTTTACACCTTGTATATGTGATGACAACGTTACAAAAGATGTTTGGCTGATGAAAACACCTATCACAAAAGACATGTCTTCACAAAACAGCTGTCTTACTTACAGGTAGATCTGTGAAGGCTGTACCAAGATGGTGTCCATTCTTGGTATAAAAACATGTATTATCGATCAGGTTGACACCGCAACCAATGACATCCCCGGTTGTGAACGTGGGGCCATATGGTTGGCCAGTGCCCGAGGAACAGAACGAGTGGCCATCGTCGCCGTGATATCCATATGATTGTTTCTCCCAGCCTGCAATACAAGACGTTTATTTTAATAAACAAATAGAATTATGTTTTCTATTACAATTTACTGGATGAGAAAATGACCTATAACTCCAGAGCCGCAACGTAGCCAAAAAGCTCGCTAAAATCTCGTGATGTACTCGTTGACCGTATGACCTAGGTAAAGTAAATTTTTATTTGAAAAAAAAACTGGTTTAAGCTATTTTTAGGTAAAGGAACTAGCTATATTTTATAGCTTTTTGAAAGTTTCGATAACCTACATTCTGGATGTTCTTCAATTTTTTGCATACAAAGAGTATATTCTTGATATAAGTTGCCCTTCAAATTTCATTCTAAAAGTTTCGCGTCAAAGCTGTGTGTAACAAGTTCTAGTGTGACGTAATAAGTTTTTCCATGGCCTATACGTCTCCAATGAAGTTTAGCCTTCCATCAAATGCGAGGTAAACAACCTTTACTATTGAATGTTGATGGTTTGACACAGGGTTGTTATGTTTAAATCAAAATGTTTAAACACTGTTTAAAACAATGAAGGTGTTTAAATCAATTTGTTTTAAACTGTTTAAAGCATGTTTTAGGCACTGTTTTTTGTTGTTTGTGAATACTTCAAGTTTTTTTTATATTTCTTTAAGTATTATTAAAATTGATTTTATTTTGCAAAACGAAACTAAAAGGGCCATAGGTTAAAACACATAGGTACTAAAAATATACTTTATGTTTTATTAATAAATCAAACATGAAACTAGGGAACTAATACTAGTGGAAAAAATCTGTTTCTTAACAAAAAAGTGAGCTTAATAAAATGAATTGAACTATAATACTAGTACACTCCAAATTCCTATAAAAGTTTACAACCCATCTTATTTAACAAAAATTCATAAATCCATAATTTTAAAATATAAAATCATGGAAAATGTACATAGAATATTTTTTTTGTTTTCACTACTTTTTAGGAACTCCAAGTAAAAAAATGTACCTTTTTCACAATTCTCCAAGCTACTTAACTTTGAGCAACTAGGTTCGGTAGAAAAATCATCATTGTCGGTATCAGAACTATTTGATATATGAATATATTGTTTTTCTAACAAACTTCCTTGTTTAAGTTGTTTACAATTTTTAATATGCTTGCGCATTCTAGCCACCGGTAGTACTATATCCATATTGCAGGTTAAACATTTTGCTCTTTTATTTATTTTCAAGACAGTTTTGGCATCAATCTCCTTTAAATATTTCCACACGGGATTCTTTCTCCTACCTGACATTGCCTTTCTTTTTTTGCCGATATTTAATGCTCAAAAAAAAAACACACCACTACGCTACGACTTCGCAAATTTGACTGCTGGAGATTACAACGGAAAAATTCCTAAAGGTAAACGGTACTTCCCCGTCGTCCGCACGGTAGTTTCCCGTTTCCCGACATCCGCTTTTAAATTAGAAATGAGCTCTGATAGAGCTGGATCAAAAATAGTAATAACACTTTCAAGGAACTTCATTAACGTTGCCAGATTATATAGGCAATAGTTTTTTAAGTTTTTTTACTGTTTTAAACATGTATTAACAGTGTTTTAAACATTTTTTTCATTTTAATTTTTATGTTTTAAACAAAAAAAACAGTTTTAAACAAAAAAAACATGATTTTTTTTAACATGTTTTTTTGTTCAACCCTGGTTTGACATTAAATCGTATGGTCACGTACTATCAGTATCTTGAGTAAAAATCAAATCCTACTGACCGATCGCTTCTGCAGAAAACAGAGAGAACTGAGTTTTCTTTCTAACTACAAATAAAACACGGGCGTGAACACTAGGAACTACATCATCCTTGAAAAATATTCATTGCTTTTCAAAAATCCCCCTCCTAAATGGCGTTTAAATACTGAGTTAAAGTATGTAAAACATAATAAACCGATTGAATAGGATCTGCAACACTTAAGGCCAACTTTATTTTGAAAAATATTATTGGCCAGCGCACTAAAAAATGACATGGGATTTTAATAAGGGGACACTCCCCCTATATGCAGAGTTTTTGCGGTGCAAAGGCGACGCATACGCAACTTACTCGTATCTGACCTAAGGTTCAAAGATCCCTGTAAATCTGGATTCGTCAAATTAAACATTTTAACTCTACCATGTATCTATATCCTGAATTGTATGTTATACACTACTCATGGTCAAATACATCCGTATGACACTCGAAATAAAAATAATATATGTGCTATCGGCTACACAGAAGCCGAAACAGCACCAACTTTTATGGGATCAAGTTCTTTAATAAGAAGCCACCTGTTAATCATGGATGTTAACATTTTCTATAAAAAAATTAACACGTTCATCCTTAAAAAAGCTTTTTTCTCATCGGATAATTCATGAATGATGACCTCTGTGATATGACATGAATGTTTGTATGCAAACTTTATCATATCACATGGTATCTATTTCTATTTACCTATTATCTCTTACTTTAAAAGAAGTCATTGGTATTGGTATTGCAAAACTTTTACTTTACCTTTGTATTACAACTCATATACCTTTGTGAAGCATTATATTTGTGCAAATACGACTAACAAACATTATTGTATTTTTTAATTGAAAAGCTAATTGAGTAGAGAAAATGCCACTGATTTATCAGATACCAAAAACTAATTATGCCCGAAAATTGCAGATACCATCTCTGTGCTTACCAAGGAAGCATAGTTAGGATACAACATAGAGAGGGTAGTGGCTTTTGCATGAGATGACTTACCGGGCAATCTGTTCATATTAACACCATGGGCCGACAAACCAATACCCATATACCCATCTCTGCCCTTGCTAACTATTTTCACCTCGAAATAGTACAGGCCACAGGAGGCTGGAATTGGGTGCGTGGCTTGGACGCTAGCTGCATCCCTGTGTGTTTTGCCGTGACCTGAAAACAAAAGAGAAAAAGACTAGTTTATTATCTAGTTAACAAGATATCTAGGTTTACTGAGTACAAAAAAAACCCACATGATAAGCTTTAAAATCTGTATCTGTATGTAATTCGGGGAAGATGGCCTGAGCGGGTTGACTACAAGTTTACAAAGCAGTAGCAATGTAAAATGAGAAAATAAAAACTTTTATAACCAAGATATTAAATTCTTTCATGATTCTATCATAAATGTACATCTTAACAAGCTTTACATGATATAGTTTTAGCTAGTAAAATTAAGACTGTCTAAAATCGTTTGTATCTTCAAAACAATAACGGTTATCTGGAATTACCAATTACCCTTGAAAAATTCCAAGGAAAATTGATCTTCTCAGAAAACGTCGTTATATATATATGCATATACATACATTAAACATATCAAACATTGCTTATAGAGTGCATCCCCAACCTTATTCCGGGAAGTAAAAGCTACATGATGTAATATTGATTCCAGTATTGAAACTGTACCCGCACATATACATTCTCATGTCGTTTCTCTTCCAGATCATAACATATACGAGGGACACGCTATATATTTTGAGATATACGAAAACTATTTTTCGAAAATTAGTTTATTTATGTTTAAGGTATTCTCCTCCAGCATCAATGCACTTCTGTAACCTGACCTTCCACAAATGAAATGCTTCTAGCCAGTCACTTTTTGGATTGCCTTCAACAAACTGATTAATTGCTTGATCGATTTCCTCTTCGGACGAAAATTTTCGACCTCACAGATTTTTTTTCAAATTCCTGAAGAGCCAGAAGTCACACGTTACCAAATCTGGCGAATAAGGCGAATGTTCTAGCATTTTAATGTGGAGCTGGCGTAAAAAGTCAACAGTTGGTTGAGCAGTGTGGCTAGAGGTATTGTCGTGATGCAGGATTGTACCTCTGCAACAGCTTTTTCAGGCAAAATGGTGTGCACTGTTGCGGATCCTACCCCAAGAGTTGACTCTATAGTCGCATATGTGCAGCTGAACTTTAGCAATGTTTTATGGAGTCACACTAGAACATGGCCTAACACTAAGTTCTTCATCAGCCAAATAAACACGTCCTCTTTTAAATTGGGCATACCAGCGAAACACACTTGCCCGGGATGGAGCTTCATGACCGAATGCCTGTTGTAACCATTCGATTCAATGATGTTCAGTCAAACCGACTTTAAGCTCATGGCTCTCGAGACAACTCCATGTCTCCTCTTAAATTTGTTTACACCACGTGCACTGTAAGAAGCTTCTGGTCCGGACTTGATTCCTGCCATTGTACTGAAGAGATGTGCAGCTGAGCTTGCTCCAGTTCTTTCGCGTCTCTTCCAGATATCTTATGAATCCGGCACCTTTCCAGAAAACTGGAAATTTGCTCATGTACAGCCCATCCCAAAAAAAGGATCTAAAACCGACCCTTACAACTACAGGCCTATAGCTCTGCTTTCTGTTATAAGTAAAGTGATGGAGAGGTGCATAAATCGCGAGCTTCTGGACTACCTCGAACGTCACAGCTTGATTAGCGACAGGCAGTACGGTTTCCGGCACCAACGATCCACAGGGGACCTCCTAGCTTACGTCACGCAACTGTGGAGTAAACTCATCCAGTCTCATGGTGAGGCTCATGTCGTTGCTCTTGACATCACGAAAGCGTTCGATCAGCTGTGGCACGCTGCCCTCTTGAGCAAACTTCCATCCTACGGCCTCCCAGAAAAGCTTTGCAGATGGGTGGCTGACTTTATCTCTGGCCGCAAGATATCCGTCGTAATTGACGGATTCTCCTCTTCATCCCACAACGTCAACGCGGGTGTTCCCCAGGGATCGGTCTTGGCTCCAACACTGTTTCTCTTACATATCAACGACCTCCTTTCCTGCACGATCAACCCAATCCACAGCTTCGCTGATGACAGCACTCTACATGCAGGAATTCAGAGTGACAAGCCGATCTCTGCCGCTGAGCTGGAAAAAAGAAGACTAGCGACGACTTCTTCTCCGACAAGAGACTTGGAGGCTATCACTGCTTGGGGACGCAACAATCTTGTACAGTTCAATGCTTCCAAAACACAGTACTGTACTTTGACGAACAAAAAGCGTCCTAGCGCTCATACAGTTTCGATGGACGGTCGAGTCCTACCAAAGAGCCATTCATTTCGGCTGGTCGGAGTCCAGATCACCGAGGACCTGATCTGGCACGAACACATCTCTTCAATAGCTGCAGCTGCTGGGAAAAAGCTAGGCTATTTGTTTAGGGCTAAGAAGTACTTTTCTCCGCATGACCTTCTCACTCTATACAAGGCCCAGATAAGGCCTAGCCTCGAGTATTGCTCACACATTTGGGGTGCTGCCGCCCCGACTACATTGTCCATGCTCGATGCTGTCCAGAGGAGGGCGGTCCGACTGATCGATGACTCTTCTCTAACGGACAGTCTCGGGACTCTTTCGCACCGGCGGGCCGTCGGCGATCTAGCTCTTTTCTATCGCTACACCAACGGGCTTTGCTCCTCAGAGCTCTCTTCCATGATGCCGCCGCGCGATGTGCCTGCCAGACAGACCCGCCTGACTTCGGCGTCCCATCCTAACCGTGTCAAACTTCGTACATCCAGAACTGGCCGATACGACCGCTCCTTTGTCCCGAGGTTGTCTAGATTGTGGAACAAACTACGGGAGGAAGCTTTTCCCAGTTCTACTAACCTTAGGCAGTTCAAAAATCGTATTAACAAAATTTCTTTGGGATCATCATAGCAGCCGCGGTGTTCCGGCATTTAGGCTTCTGCCTGCGCGGCTGTTTCGATATAAAAAAAAAAAAAAAAAAAAAAAAAAAAAAAAAAAAACGCTTGCAAATGAACTGAATGCGGGACTTATTAATAAAAGACTGCTCTTTCTAATAGTGCACTGTTACCGGATTTGGCTAGTATAGTTAATGCGCATGTCAAAATATACAGCGTGCCCCTCGTATATATATAAAGATAAATAGGTTTTGTGGAACTGACGTTGAAGCATACACACTTGATACACACACATGCAAGTTCACGCTTCTGTCCAAAGTATATAGAATGCTAATAGTAGGGTCACTAAGATTTTTAACAGCAATAAAGTGCAGGAGCGAGGCCTCTCTGACAGGAGGGACCATTGTGCAGAGTCTGTCAGTTGCTAAAAACGGTAAGATTTCTGAAAAGGTTGCTAACACCACTTAGGAAGTCCGGACATGTGACGTTTTTCCGCCAGTGACTCAACTATTCGTAGTTTCATGCTTGGTTTCTGTTTTACGACCACTAACTGTGCTGGCGTTGTGTTATGAAAACGCGCACATGTTACCTTGGATTCATTTCCTAGTTGCTACGAGTATTGTAATGTACTTTTCTAAATCCACTTGCCTTCAATCTCTCATCTTACATAAACCACTTCCTTCTGCGAAAATCATGTAAAACAGGTGAGAATCACGTTGATATATGGAATCTCTTTCAGATTCCATTTGATTTACTTTCTTGCCGCTTCATGCATAACATGGAATAAAACCAGCGTTATACAATGAAATTTTCACTTAGTCGTTATTATTTGGCTAATCTAACTGGGATAAAAATTTAATGAAGAGTTAATAACGGTAGTCTGTTATTTAACTTCAACTTTTAAAAATATCGATACCATTCGAAAACAAAAGTTGGAATAAAAAAATATACAGGGTGTTCCTTAATGGTATGCGAATATTTAAGGGTTCGAATCTACATGAAAAATTAGTTAGTTTGCTTTATAAATTATGGTCCAAAAATGTTTCCTTACAAAAACTCGGGGTGTTGAAGTTTTAGGAAAAAAATGGAAATTAATATTTTCAGAACCGCTTCAGATATTTCACTGATATGTCGTACGTAGTAAAAGTTAATAAAGTTGCATATTTTTCAATGCATAAATAATTTTTAGCTTTAACCTTTTATAATATTCATCGTCGTCTTGTTGAAACGGGTTCTGTCCGAAAAGAAACATCTGAAGGTAGACTTCTAAGTGTGAGAACACCTGAAATCGAGGAAGCAGTGCTGCACGAAGTCGAAGAACTACCTGAAACGAGTACGAGGAAGATCGCTAGACAGTTAAATATTTGCTATCAAATTGTATGGAGCATTTTAGTAGATTTTTGTAATATTCTTGCTATATTTTAAGAGTACAGGCATTACTTCCCATTGATTTTCCAAGGCGTGTGACCTTTTGTCAGTGATATCTTCAACAAATTACAAAAAAACCACAATTTGAATCAATGATTCTGTTCACGGACGAAGCTAATTTTTCTCGAAATGCCATTCAGAATTTCCACAATAATTATTTGTGGACAGAAGAAAATCCCTATGCCGTAACCGAAACCCATTTCCAACACCAATTCTCGGTTAACGTATGGGCAGGAATTATTGGCAACCACTTTATTGGCCCATTCTTCTTGCCGGGACGACTTGACGGACAGACATACCTCAATTTTCTTCAAAAACTGTTGCCTTTGCTGCTTGATGATGTTCCGTTAGTAATAAGAAACAATATGTGAAAAGACCTATATTCTACTTTACTCAAAAAGCGCAATAAATCAATAAATAAGAAAAACTCAGGATTTTCCAAGCGCCAGTATTTATAAATACATTTTTGTCCTATTTCCCTAACCCATCAGATAGGCTGCCAAATAACTTTCATGATCAATGTCAGTTGATATACGATTGAACATGAGCGACCTACATGTAGACGAACGATTTCATATCAGAAATAAAGTAAACTATTTACATTCTTCATAAACAAGAATAACTTACGTACGTTTTGATTAATCTGTTGAATTTATACTGGTTAAGGAATAATGCCTTTACAGTCCAGATATCAGAATAATCCGAAACTACAGAGACTACAGATATGATACGTCGAAACAGATAAGGAAAGCATAGACATCCCATTTATACAGGCTACTAAATGGAACCAAATTTTTTGAAAGCTTAAGGTTTCAGCTGCTACGCGGTAGCCTTAACGCTCTTACGTTTTAAGCATATATTTTATGTTTGCATTTTTATAGTTAGCCCAAATACAAGGTATCAACATTCACCTGTTAATGCAAATAAATTAATAGTTTTTTAAAGTGTTGCTATGGAGTCGTTCCCGTCTGTTGACTAGAGTGCTATTACTTTCCATAATTTCGCCATGGTATACGAGGGCCACGTTATATATTTTGAGATACACGAAACCTAAAAACTATTTTTCGAACACTAGTTTACTTTCTAAGTAATCTCCTCCAGCATCAATGAACTTATGTAGCCTGACCTTCCACAAATGAAATGCTTCTAACCAGTCAGTTTTTGGAATGCCTTCAACAAACTGATTAATTGCTTGATCGATTTCCTCTTCGGAAGATAATTTTCGACCACACAAATTTTTTTCAAATTGTTGAAGAGCCAGTAATTTTAGAGGTATCATGTGTCTCACAATCACCGGTGTTGACATACAATTTCGAAAATTTCTTTAGTGATACGGTAACAAGTTTTCCCAATTTAGTTGATTTATGTACTCCTCCTAATTTTGCAAAAACCACGCAATATCTACGAAAGGAAATTTCTCAATGCATTTTTTTGATACGTAACATTTCACTTCTTTATTATTTTTCAACCGTGTGGAATAGGGATATTTGAAAGAGTCATTAGGAATCATTGCACACCTCAATAAGGTTAATTTTTCATGGGAAGACAAGTTGCTGCTGAAATTTACATATGGCGCAACATCAACAAAATTGGATCCTTAAGGTTTCACACCCGATTGTTCAACACTTGGTTCAGCATACTGTGCAACATCAAGAAATTTT